GTTAACCCAAACCACAATAACAATGCAAATATTATTGCTGAAATTTAAAAGGGGTTACAACAAAGGCTCTTGACAATAGGAAAATAATAATGCAAAACACCAGTGACTCCCTAGGGCAAGGATACGAGTAGTGTGCTGCAACTGAGTTAGTGTAAGTACGGGATTGAAGGTGGTATGGGTGCGACTAGACAACAAAATACAGGTGGCTGGCGACAAAGCGTCGTAGGGAGGAGCGGCTGGATAACAACCAACAAGTGGCTGGAGTCAGTGCAGTGCAAGGAGGAGTTGGATAGCAACCAACAGGTGACTGGAGGCAGTACGGTGCAGGGAGGAACTAGAAAAAAACCAACAGATGCTGGAGGCAGTGTGGTGGTGTAGGGAGGAGCGGCTGGATAGCAACCAACAGGGGCTGGAGGCAGTGCAGTGCTGGGAGGAGAGGCTGCAAGCAGGTTGGATTGGTCGGTGGCTAGGGAAGCAGGTACGGGGGTGGCTAGTGGCATTGAACAAGAGATGGAGGGTTGTCCAGGGATGGCAACGGTGAGGGAGATGACTGAAAATCCTGCATAGGGGTCGGGTGAGGATAAATATTTCCCCGAGATTAAGCTACAGTCGGAGCACCACTCGAACTCTCAGAGGTCACCATCTAGGATGGGTTACGGACAAAACACCTTCTCGCCTTCAGATAGAACCCAGAAGGGGACAACGGAATCCGGGTCGTTGTAGTAATCTCAAGAGAATACTTACCCTAAAACAGAAAATAACAAATGTATAAAATAGATAACTAGGAGGGGGAGATCCCTCCCTTTGGGTGATAACTCTTGCCCATCATCAGGGACTGGCTACCCCTTGCTCCCCTCTGGGCTAAAGTGATTCAGATGAACTAACCGTTTCAGCCCCCCTTGAGAGCCACGTGTCAATCTTTCAAAGTTGTGAGAGCTTCGACCTCATTCGTCGAAGATTGTATGCCTAATGCAGATGATGGAGCCGTTGTAACCTCTTGGGGCTGAAGGCTCTTCCACTGTGGTTTGAGAAGCACCCGTCTCCCATTGGCGACGGCACCATCTTTCCTCATTCCGAGCAAGCATCCATATCGGTCTAATCTTTTTGGAGCTGACTACTAATCTGACTTGGGCCTGAACCTCCCCGAATGGTGGCGGCCGTAGCGGTAAGATATCGATCGTGGTGTCTTGTAATGCTCTCTGTCATGAATGTCCTATATCTTGAATTAATGTCTCAATCCTTTCATCCTCCATCCTCACCAAAACTAGTCCCACCGACGCTGCTTTGTTAGTAAGGGCACCTTTGATCTCGGGCTCTGTAGAAGGGAGAATGCATTTCCCCTCCTCGGTGAATGAGTAGGTATTTCTGAATCCATCATGCTGATCCTTACAGTCAAATTGCCACGATCTCCCCAGAAAAAGGTGGTAGGCATCCATGGGTACTACGTCGCATCACATCTGATCCTAAAACTAGCTCCTAATCTAAGACTTCACTAAGCAGCTCTTGTAATTGCTGACCCTATTCCCCTCTTCAACTACGTCATAGAATACAACTGAGAATGTCTCTGAGTCATGAGGCCCAATTTCTCTGCCATCTGCGTAGATGCCACATTCTTGTTGCTCCTTCCATCGATGATGAGACTGCATACATTCTCGTTCACAATACAACTGCTGTAGAATATGTTATGGTGTTGGGCGAAGCTACTGTAGATCTCTCGTATTCTCAATCTAGAGGGCTCGTCGAATCATGAGCATCTTACCCTTATCTAGTAGAAGATGATACACCTTACATCGTTCTTTGTCTGCCTCCTAGCTGCTAATCACTCCATTGCGCCCTGCTCGGTAAAAGACACAAATCGACTCGTTGGTCAATTGGAGGCGATTTGTCCATATCTATTGCATCTAAAATATTTTTTAGCTGGGATTGTAATAGATGTGTTATTCTTATCGGGCTTCTTCTCACTCGGTGTGACTCTGTCCTTATCCGAACCAATTTTCTCAACTCTCCAAAGCGTGTATCTGATGTCTCCAACTATGGGTGGCAACCTAAATGGTGGTGGTTGCCTACTTTGTTTCTACTATCTCTCTTCCTTCAGGGCTAAGGTTTGTACATTTCCCAAAGACCAATAAGGCTACAATTGCACAACAATGATAGTGGGCTTCAAGTCCATTAGATATCGAACTATAGAACGTTTCTTTGGCTCAATCAAATCATACTTCATATGCAACTATTCAAACTGCAACATGAAATCCTTTACTGATAGGTCTCTCTGCTGTTGGTGATAGAGTCTCAAAAACATATCCTGACAGTAATGAGGAGGTAAGTATTTTCTCTGCATCTCATTCTTTATCTTCTTCCATCCGGTAATCTTGTCACTATCTTGTCTTTTTCTTTACCTCTGCGAGTTTTCCCACCACTAGGAGATGCTCTTCCTTAATTTGATAGCTGCAAGCTTCACCATTGTCTTTTGGCACCTCTTAGTACTTGATTCTCTCAACTGACTATAGACATTTGATAAGGTCAGATGCATATCTCCATCGAACTCCCAGTAGATCCATTTTGATGCCCAAATTCCCATGTCCTTCATATTTAGCCTCCTCTATTATTAAATTTCAAAGCATCGAGACCTGTCTTCTTCACCACTGAAGTCATCTATATGGATGCGATTCAGATCCTCGCCCCTTTCTCCCATTAGATTCTCCATATCATGATCGAGGGTAACCTCCTCCTGGTTTTCATCATTTATTTCCACAAGCCTCTATTGAAGACGACAAAACTCTCGTTGTATCTATTCCTGAGTAAGCTTGGGTCTGTATCTCCTTGGTGACATGATTAGGGTTTGAGATTTGTGGGAGTGAAAATGGTATTTGGTGGAGGAAATAAAAATTTTTAATGGAGATGGTTTGCGTATGGTGGATGCTAGAAAATTCTAGAATAGGACTAGGGTTGGACGAGCTTTAATACCAATTGATATGGGTGTTAAATCAAACCACAGTAGAAATATAATATTATTGTTTAATTCAAATGGGGTTACAATAATGACTCTTGACAATAGAAAATTAACAATGCAAAATACCAGAGACTCCCTTGGGCAAGGACACAAGTAGTGGGTTATGGTTAAGTTAGTGTAAGCAGGGGATTGGAGGTGGTAGATGTGCGACTGGACGATAAAATACAAATGAATGGCAGAAAGGGGGCACTGGGGAGAGCGGCTAGAGAA